ATTTTGAATGAAAGGGCTCCACAGCAGGAACACATAAACTCAGATTATTCTGTGTTTGCAGATAAGCCCATGCAGCTGAACCAGGCCTTGTTTCTGCTGGGAGGCGGCAGCGGCTACGTCCCCCAGCCAGACGYCATGAGGGACGACGCCTTCGACCCTTTCGACAAGGACACGCTGCGCCTCGAGCCAATCACCATCCAGCTGCAGGTCAGACCGACCAATCAGAGCAGAGCTTTGGTTCGTTGTGTTTAAAGGTTAGAAAGAAAAAGATTCATTTTCTGACTTGGTCAGGTGCTCGGAGCTCGCCACCTGCCCAAAAACGGCCGCAGCATCGTCTGTCCCTTCGTGGAGGTGGAAATCTGCGGAGCCGATTACGACGGCTGCAGGTGCAAGACGGACGTCGTAGGTGAGCCAGCGGCTGCTTCAATATGAGCCTTCAGCTGGGTTTTTTTTGTCCTTCGGCTGCAGATTAACAATCTCCTTCTTTCTGGTCCTCCCAGCTGATAACGGTCTGAATCCTGTGTGGGTGCAGAAGCAGTTTGTGTTCGACGTCCACAACCCCACCTTCTCCTTCCTGCGCTTCGTCATCTACGAGGAGGACATGTTCAGTGACCCCAACTTCCTGGCACAAGCCACGTACCCGGTCCGTCTGCTGCGAACAGGTGAGCATACCGCTAAACATCAGCTAAAAAACAGGTGAGCTAACCCTTAAACATCTGCTAAAAAACATGTGAGCTAACACTTAAACATCTGCTAAAATACATGTGAGCTAACCCTTAAACATCTGCTAAAAAACATGTGAGCTAACCCTTAAACATCAGCTAAAAAACATGTGAGCTAACCCTTAAACATCAGCTAAAACATGTGAGCTAACCCTTAAACATCAGCTAAAAACATGTGAGCTAACCCTTAAACATCAGCTAAAAAACATGTGAGCTAACCCTTAAACATCAGCTAAAAAACAGGTGAGCTAACCCTTAAACATCAGCTAAAAAACTTGAGCTTACAAAAACATTTGAGCTAACCCTTAAACATCAGCTAAAAACATGTGAGCTAACCCTTAAACATCAACTAAAAAACATGTGAGCTTACAAAAACATTTGAGCTAACCCTTAAACATCTGCTAAAAACATGTGAGCTAACCCTTAAACATCAGCTAAAAACATGTGAGCTAACACTTAAACATCTGCTAAAATACATGTGAGCTAACCCTTAAACCTCAGCTAAAAACATGTGAGCTAACCCTTAAACATCAGCTAAAAAACCTGTGAACTAACCCTTAAACATCAGCTAAAAACATGTGAGCTAACCCTTAAACATCAGCTAAGAAGCATGTGAGCTAACCCTTAAACATCAGCTAAAAAACAGGTGAGCTAGCCCTTAAACATCAGCTAAAAACATGTGAGCTAACCCTTAAGCATCTGCTAAAAAACATGTGAGCTAACACTTAAACATCTGCTAAAAAACATGTGAGCTAACCCTTAAACATCAGCTAAAAACATGTGAGCTAACACTTAAACATCTGCTAAAAAACATGTGAGCTAACCCTTAAACATCAGCTAAAAACATGTGAGCTAACACTTAAACATCTGCTAAAATACATGTGAGCTAACCCTTAAACCTCAGCTAAAAACATGTGAGCTAACCCTTAAACATCAGCTAAAAAACCTGTGAACTAACCCTTAAACATCAGCTAAAAACATGTGAGCTAACCCTTAAACATCAGCTAAGAAGCATGTGAGCTAACCCTTAAACATCAGCTAAAAAACAGGTGAGCTAGCCCTTAAACATCAGCTAAAAACATGTGAGCTAACCCTTAAGCATCTGCTAAAAAACATGTGAGCTAACACTTAAACATCTGCTAAAAACATGTGAGCTAACCCTTAAACATCAGCTAAAAACATGTGAGCAAACCCTTAAACACCAGCTAAAAAACTTGAGCTTACAAAAAACAGGTGAGCTAACCCTTAAATATCAGCTAAAAAAACATGTGAGCTTACAAAAAACATGTGAGCTAACACTAAAACATCAGCTAAAAACATGTGAGCTAACCCTTAAACACCAGCTAAAAACAGGTGAGCAAACTGTTAAACATCAGCTTAAAAAGATGCGAGCTGTTAAACATCAGCTAAAAACGTGTGAGCTAACCCTTAAACAACAGCTAAAATGCATGTGCGTTAACCGTTAAACATCAGCTAAAAACATGAGCTAACCCATAAACATCAGCTAAAAAACATTTGAGCTAACCCTTAAACATCAGCTAAAACATGTCAGCTAACTTTTAAACATTAGCTAAAAACACGTGAGTTAACTGTAAAACATTAGCTAAAAATTTGTTTATTACTGAGCTGCAGAAAAACGTAATCAGGATGTTTGGCCTCCTATATGAGCAGTAGCTTTGGTCAAGTGTGAATTAAACAAATTGTTTTACATTTAAATAAAATTGTTTTGTTATTAAAGGTAAAAATTAAAAAAAAATGACATTCTAGTGATTTTATTGTTCTTTAAGTGCAAAAATGACGTTTTCAAACTCGATGAATAAACAGTTTTAAGAATCGTGATCACAGTAATGATCAAAATTAATATTATTTCTGGTATAAATGTTTGTTGTTGCCAGGCTACAGGAGTGTTCCTCTGAAGAACAGCTACAACGAGGAGCTGGAGTTAGCTTCACTTTTGGTTCACATTGAGATCGTCAACGCAAAGGTAGTAAAAAAACCACACTCCATGGTTTCGAAAAAATCAAAAATAAAACTATACCAACCTTGTGTCGCCGCTGCTGCAGGAGGAAGACGATGAAAACTTTTACACGTCCATCCAGCGGCTTCGGGATCGAACCAGCGAGCTGTCCACCAAGGTGTCTCTCCTGGAGAGGTCTGGATCCGTGGACCTGAGCTACCAGCAGAGTCTGGAGGAGCTCCGAGCTGCTCAGGACCAGCTGAGCGAGCTGGTGGAGGCCCGCAACCGCAGGTAGCCCCACACACGAGGGGATTTTCACTCGCAACCTTAGCACCTACGATCGCGTACAGTTCCCTGAACGTGTGACCCAAAAGGTTTTCCTTCCTCCTCAGGTTGGTGGAGAAGAAGAGGAGGGAGAAACTGAGGCAGCAGGTCGCAGCAAAGCGCTGCTAATCGTCGCTAAGCTAACCATGCCAGACATGCCGTGGAGGGACCGTGATCTCAAATAAAACAAGAACAATAACTTCACTTAAAAAGTGACAAACAGAAGCATCTCATGGACTAAAAAAAAAAACTAAAATAAGCTATAAACACAATCAGAGCCGAACCTGAAACACAGAGCTGCTGTGACATTTAGGCCATTTTAATACCAGCCGTTAGCATGGAGAAGCTAATTAGTTCTCATAACTTCAGCTATTATTGATTATGATTAAAATATGGCACGGTATGAGGTCCAAAGTTAAGACTATTGCCTATATCCTTGTAGCAGGAGGCTATATTCGTTGGTGATCTGATTAATTATAGGCCGGCACTGATAASTGAGCAGCTGGCCCTGGTAACTGAGAGGCCGGTGCTGGCAAATGAGGAGACTATACAATTGTGTTAGCATAGGAGGGGCTAGCAAATAGCATGGATAAGCTGGCGTTAACGTTAGAGGAGCTAACGACTAGCAGACATTAGCAATGAAGAGGCCAGCGACTAGCATGGATAAGTTGGCGTTAGCATTGGAGAGGCTAGCGACTAGCATGGATAAGCTGGCATTAGCATTGGAGAGGCTAGCGACTAGCATGGATAAGCTGGCTTTGGCATTAGAAAGGCTAGAGACAAGCAGACGTTAGCATTGAATAGGCTAGCGACTAGCATAGATTAGTTGGCATAAGCATTAGAGAGGGTAGTGACCAGCATGGATAAGTTGGCATTAAAAAAAGCTAGMRTCTAGCWTAGATAGGCTGATGTTAGCAATGGAAAGKCTAGTGACTAGCAGACAGCATTGGAGAGGCTAGCGGCTAGCGATAAGCTGGCATTAGCAGAGGCTAGTGACTACCATGGATAAGCTGATTTAGTTAAGCTAATTTAGTTAGTTCCTGAATTAGCAGCTGTGTTTGCCCTTGTCTATTGGTCGACTGCGTTTTTTCCTCTTTAGCTGAATTATGAGAAATATTTGTATTTGACATAAATTATAATTCAGTATAGAGAAGCCTAATTTAAACCCTGTTAAAAACAATAAAATGCCCCAACTTAATAGTTCTGGCTTTTCACATTTACTTTAGCAGTTAGCTCACCATAATCATTCATCAACATTGTTCAGATCAACAGCTGGTTTAGGAATAGATGCAGCCTCCTGCTACAGGGATAGCTGCTCAATAGTCTTAATTTTGGTCCTCATGCCRCGTCATATTAAAAGACTAGAGCCTTTCCCAATCAGTGGCTACACCCTCGCCCTACTCCCTACACACTACACTCGCTGTGAAGCCCCCTCGCAGCTGAACTGAGTCCCCTTGATGGCGCTGTAAGGTCTAATTATAAACCCTCCTCTTTTGAGACGGGCTTTACTCGCACTACCAGAACAGGAAGCTGTCGTCACCATTGTAACAGTCCAAGCTCTGGCAGCGACTGAATGCTGGAGACCGAACGCTTTTTTAATAGAACAAAGAAAATGTTTAATTAGGCCCACATTTTAGAGTTTTCAGATATGACTTTATTTTTAACAAACAGGGTCCTAACTTGTCAAAACAATTGCACTTTTAAAATTTTATAAATCTTTTTTTTTACTTTTTACTTTTTAATTTTTTCCTTTCTTCTTTTTAAAACATGGACCAGGGTTCTGTGTCTTTAATAAAGTTTTAATTGAATTGGATATGATTTATTTGAAATTATATTTGTTGGTGAGATATTTACTTAGTAAATATGTGTACAAAACATATGTGGAACTTATATTTATACGTCCCGTCCTCTATGTCGACCACTATTTGGTGCCGCTCAAGTCTGCATTGGATGCTGACTCGCTGTGCAGGGCTCAATAGGCCACTCACCTTCGTACGTAATTGGTTTCAGATGGGACTTAATACGGCGGGAACGCGCAAACGGAGTGAGGAGTGATCAGGGCGAGGGTGTAGCCACTGATTGGGAAAGGCCCTTAAAATCTGTTTCTACTACAGGAAGCAACGGGAGCTCTATTGGGACAAACAGAGCCATCTGGTGGTCGCATTGTTTGTTATTTAACCTGATAAATAAGCTGCTAAACAAACTGAATCCCTCAGGTTAACATGAGGCGACACAACAGAAGCTCTGAAAAAAGGGAGAAAACTCAGGTTCTTCAGCGTTAATAAAAACTGTTGAGACCCGGATCGATATGTGGGCACTCGTAGCAAAAAAAAAAAAAGTCCTGTTTGTGCCTTTTTGTTGTTCAGTTTGTACCGTTACTGAAGATAACTGGAAACTTTATGGGAGAACTGCACTCACACCACTAATCATGATTTTACAAGAACGGTTCTTTTAAACCAAGGTCTCCAGTGTCCGACGGGGAACTTCCTGTCCCACCGGGGAGGGAACAAATCGAACCTAAAAATCCCAGGTCTTCTTCTAATACCCAAACTAAGGGCTCTGAGTTCATCTGTACTACCTCCAGAGGGGCGGGGGAGCCCCCTGGACGTCAGCGGCCTCACGCTTTAAATAAGGGCTATAACAGAAACCGGACCAGGACCATCAACAGATGTGGTCTCAGAAGAGCTGCACGGCTTATTTCTCATCATGTATATATATTTTATTTATCACACAGGTGTAGATCCTGATTTTATTATTATTAAACCCAAACTGAAGATATTTTATTTTTTATTGGAGCTCTTTTCCTCCCTGCAGTCTGTTCTGTTCAGGGACTTTCTATGCAAAAAAAAAAAAAAAAAAGGTTTTGCGGATTAGAAAATCTGACTAAAAGTTGTGTTTTCTGTCTGTATCTATGCTTACTCTTCAGTGTTATTACTCTGCGTCACAAGTTTCCAGTTAATAAACATTTTTCATGTACTCCTGTGTGACAGATATTTTTAAAAATAACAAAAAGTCAACCGGAGGGTTAACATACGATGGTTCTGTTCCCCCTCTTTACATCACAGCTCTAGCTTTAGCACGTAAAAAATTAACTTATTGTCACCAATGTGCAACCATCCTCGCAAAAACACTTTGTCAAATGTTGTGTTTATTTGACAAAAAAAAGGTATCTCATTAGTCACAGATTAATTTAGAGGCAGGGGCGGAGCTAGAGGGGTGGCAGTGGGGTGCCACCCCCAAATAAGTGACAAGCAGGGTAATAATCACATGGCGTTTTAAAGATGGGCAGTTAGAGATTTTTATTTTTTAATTGCTTGTTTAGCTTAAAGAGTAACACCATACCTAATTTCAGTTCAATACTTCTAAAACAGCTGATTTGTAGTCATTTGAAACTAGGTTTGGCAGCCATCTTGGATTTTTTATTTGTAATCATATTTTGTTAAAAACTGTTTCTCTACTACACCAATGTTTACGAATGTCTAAAAATTACTAAATTAAAGTCCTTTGTAAATTAGCATTAGCTTAGTTAGGGCTAGCAAAAAGTATGGTATGGCGGGTGCCGGTGGGGCCCATGAGTTTGTCGCTGCTGGCCCCGGGGGCTGTGTGTGTGGT